CACTGTATTGTTTGCAGTCATAGCTAAGATTGTTTGTGTGTGTGTGTGTGTGTGTGTGTGTGTGTGTGTGTGTGTGTGTGTGTGTGTGTGTGTGTGTGTAAACCACAAATCAGTCCACTCACAAAAACAGCATGGTCACTTGAGGGTTAAAGTGAAAATGAACGTATAAGCAGGCAGAAATCTCACTGTTGTCTTTTGCCGCCCCCTGCTGGTAATACACGTTTACTAAAATTTGACCCAGCTGGTGAACCTAATTTGAAGCCATGTAAAGTCAATGTAAATTAATAAACACAATAATCAGTTTTATTTTGCTTAAACTGATGGTAACCAATTAACTGCACACACAACACCCTCCTAAGCAGATCACAGATAAGGTTGATCAGTGCCTCTGCTGCTGATTATTTACATATAACTCAGTGCTAACCAAAACTTATCTCATCACTTTGCTCAGTCCCAAGCTGGTTACAGATTTGCTTCACAATTCTTTGATTGTGGGAATAACTCTTCTGCTCCTTGGGCGTACTCCACCAGCTGATACTATCACCTGATGGTTTCAAGTCAATTAAAGTGCAAAGAGAAAGTCTGGATTCATTAGTTTTTCAAAGGGGAAAATAATCTCTTTCATCAGGAGTGGTCAGTCAGCTATGTAGCCTGACTCATTTAGCTGACACATGCAGGAGTATGATTCTTTCATCTTTACACACACACACACACACACACACACACACACACACACACACACACACACACACACACACACACGCTACAGATGACTAAACTTGCTCTTTGACTTGAATGGAAATATCCAGAGGGCCCAATCCAAGTAAAAAAAATAAATAAATAAAAGACCCCGGAGGCTCACTAGACTGTGGGCAATATGTTGATTGATGGAACAGACAAAGAGGGTTGAGCTCTAACTGTGTTTAAGCTATTGTCAAACACTTGATTAATCAAAGGAAGGCCTTGAACCAAATAGAACAGAATGTGAAATGAAACTGAACTCAAATAAAACATTTAAACAATTAAAAAGTGCATATGAGCAGTAGGTTTTTGGATTGGATTTTATTTGTTTTAACGTGTTTCCTTTCCACTGGTCACGTTAAAGCAGTGAAACAAATGTGCATATATGTAGTATAGGAGAAAAAAAAGAGGCCAACAGCTATGGTCTTGAGTGCATTAATCCCAATTGATGTATTTAACTAGGGACTTCTGTGTTTTTCAGGTTGACTGTGCAAACACATTGTTTGTGCTCTGTTTTTATTGTCGCGGCTCTTGAGTAACTAAAAAGCACACACACGCAGACCCCTCACCTGAACAAACTGATCCTTTTGATCCTGCAGAGTGTCTGCAGGCATCACCGCTGGGAGTTTTAGCAGATGAATATACGGTCATCGAGGCCCGCTGTTCCACATGACAGCTATAAAACTGTTTTGTCTGCATGCTTTCTCTGAAGACTGAAGCTGGCAAACATGTGACACACCCATGACGACCCACTCCATGAGTGATGAGCCACTCTGTCAAACGACATTTAAGACCATCAGACCTTTTACAAGAAATGCATATTCTACAATACAAAGAGAAATGCAAATATAGAGACACTTCAAACTTCTGTGCTACTGATGCAATCATTCGCAACAGCACGACATAAGCAAACATCTGCATATGTTATTTTTAAAGTTGTGCATTGCTGTCAGGACCTTGAAAATACTACCCATTACTGACTATTGCCTTATTACATGTCAGCAAAAGAAAACAAACTTGAAAATGAAAATGTTATGTCACAAAATTAACTTCTTTTTCTGACAGAAAATTGAAGGAGTACATGCTTCATTTGCTTAGTTAATCCACCAGCTACCATCCAACTTGATGGTACATTTCTGCCAAATTGTGAGCTGTAATTATATAAGCCTGTGTCCAGTCATTTAAAACATTCTGTGCCGAGCTGTTTGTTCAGAAGTTAAAATAGTGCTTTCAGTGTTTTTATAGCACTTATGCATGAGTAAATATCTAAAATGGGCTGCGGTTTGCGGCTGACTTGTTCTATTTCTCTTCAGGCAAAAGACTTTATAGTTCATCTACATGACCCCTGAACGTTTTTTGAACCCTGCCTCTCAATTACTTTAGCTGCAAGGGGCTTTACTTCCTTGATTTATGTTGTGTTTTATAATTTTAAAAGTTTTATTATAACTATGGTTAAAGTGCAACATGCCATGTTCTTAATCATAGAGAGGCAGAGGAATGCTCTATTTAAAGCAATATATATACTTTAATGCTACTGTTTTTAAAAGCCAGCCAATCAAACTGTTTCCAAGAAATGCTTAAAGCTTCGGGCTACACCATTTATTCCCGTTATGAAAACAAAAGCCAAACACATGCTTCACTCATATGAGTCACTGCACTCATATGATGGCTACTTGGGGCAGTGAGGTCTTTAGAAACAGTGATGCCACACTAAACCTTACACTGAAAACTATAAACATACAACTGGTAGTTGTATAGCTCAAAAAGGTTTGAATGAATTCCAATGAAACTTTGTAGACGTGTAGAGTGAGTTCGTGTTAACAACCCATTAAAATTTGGCTTACATCTACCAAGGTCTTCAAAGTCAACTTAATGGTTTAATGCCCTATATTGACAAAAAGCCTTATAAATTAGAAACTATGATTCTTACAAGTGTAGTGTGTGTTGTCAATTTATCAACAAATACCAAGTACCATACAAATATTTAAAATATGTCATATTTGTCCTCTGACCTCTCCTTCAAAGCCAATAGACTGAGCTGAAGGTCAAAATAAGCAAGTTTTAACTAGCTTTGTATAATGTTATACAGATTTATTACTGCCATTGTTTGTACTGAGAACATATAGGATTATAGGCAATGATATATGGGTATTCTAAATATCACCTTATATTTTGCATCCAAATATCATATCATATTTGACCT